CAAAGAAAATAGAAATATGGCCCAGGCCCATAAGAATATATTCTTCATCACCAATAAAGGCAGTGAGTTCATAGGGTTAGGAACCACCAAGGGAACATGGAATCAAAGAGGACCAAGCGAACATGGAATCAAAAGATTGTTGTTCCTCATAAAATAAATAGAAGAAAAAATAGACAAAAGATTAGTAAAATAATTAATTAAAGATGAAAAAATAAAAAGATGTCACCGAAAATATAAGAAATTTGAGTTGAGGCATGAATCAATCACTCTTTTTAGGACGTCTCGTATCATTGATGTAACAGTTTCTTATAGTCACACCGCCCACAAGATACAACAATCCAACCTTTCTTTATTGTATTTTTACAAGTATTGCACTCTTGTAAAGAAAGTTTTACCCCACCACCTTTTCCTTTGCCCAAAGAGAGTTTGTATACTATGTTTTTTTTTTTTTTTGAATAAAAGTGCAGAATGCAGAAAATTGTATCAGCCTTTGGTAGACATGGAGGCTGCCTTTTTATAGGCCTTCCCAATTCGTAAGTGGAGTAGAAAACCAATTAAAATTTGAAAGAAATTTGTCGATTACAAGGACCAAATTTGAAATTGATGAAGCTGTGTGCAATAATGAAAATTATTACATGGATTCCAAGAAACTGAAAACCGATGCAAGTTTTAAAAAATGTCTGTTACCATTTGATTAAAATACAAATCTATGGATTCTTTCTCAAAAACTAAAAACGCATGGATTTGTAACTGATGAGTTCTACACAAATTTAATTTTTGAAGCCCAATAAATTTGTAACCAACTGACACAATCAATTTTTAATTAAAATCTATAACACGATATGCCCAATGACTTGAAATGTTAGTTGGTAATGGGATTTGTGGCATTCACATTTTTGCTCTTCATTTTGTTCAATCCTTGAAATGATTATGAGGAGTATCTTTCACAAACTATGTAGTTTCAATATGCATAACTTGTTTTTAATCAAATAGATATTAACAAAAAGCAATAAGCACACAAATCTATCCTTCTTTTGGAGAAACTCAACTGTCTTCTTTCCTTGGGCAGAGAAATATAAGACACCATACAACTTCATGTCCACATTTCTCCTTGATTTATGCTTGTGTAAACATCAAAACAAAAAGGAAAACAAGAACAATTGAGCAATAAAATGACATGAACATAGTTTCGATGGAGAGGCTTTTTACCTTTTCTCTTTCTTTTCTTGGCCTTACCAATTGTTTGCAATTATGGTTGCACATTGGATTATTAAGGAAACATAAATTATTATTTTTTTTTTTAGCATTTTGTATTTTATTAAATTATTTTTTATCCACTCAATTTAAAAATGATAAAAGCAATAAAGATAATAAAAAGTCATTTAAGTGCATAATCAAATATATTTTTTGTATAACCTTAACAATTCAATATATGGTTGAAGTGTAGAGCTTTAATAATCCTATATTCTCTTGGTCATTGACAGCTAGTCAAGCTCAAAGGACAATAAAAAATTCAAAATCAGACTAATGCAACAATTATAACCTCAAGCTTTGCGCTTGGCGAGGTGTCAATGATCCATAGTACCTGGGATTGTCAAAGTCTAGAAAAAAGAGAAGTTGTTAAACATTTTTCATCCCAACTATGGAAATGTCGTTTTATTGTTCAAAGCATGAGGCTATGATAGCTGCATTAGTTTCATCTTCCAACTTAGGATTGTGCGTAATCCGAGGGAGGGGGGGTGGAGTCCATGCTGCTGAGTCATCGGAATTGCTGGCAACATGGAATCTTATTGGTGGAATTATGCGATTTCACATGGGCATGAACCAATGGCAAGACGGGATGGGAGACAGAGAGTGGCACCAGGCCCTCATGATTATTGCACACTAATCTCCATCATTAATTTGATTAATCAAGATATGGAATTGTGGGTTTGGAAAATGTGTTTTCAGGGCTGAACTTCCTCTTTTTCGGCAGAAATTAGTGGGACGAAGAAGTGTACGAATGATTTCGCCATTGGCAAAGCTCCATGTATAAGCGTGCGGAGGCTCCCCTCGGTTGATGGACGGCGTTCCCAATGTTTCCCATGTGTGGCAGCGGACTTGCATGAGATGCTGATTTTAAAATTTCTCTAGTATAAATATATACACCTAATTAAAGAGTTGTGTGGCTTAATTCATAGGTTTTATTCATCTTATGTTGTAAAAGTATAAGATAAAGAGTAATAATTGAATAACAACTGTAATATTTTAAAAAATAAAAATAAAAAACTTTAAACTAAAAAGATAATTTCTGTTTTTTAATTTAAAACAGGGTTTATTTAACCCGTGACTCAAAGATGCAATAAATACATTTTTTTTATAATTAATTTACATTAAAAATTATAAAAATTGACATATATTTTAACATTATTGATACATGAATGATTTTAATTAATTAATTAATTAATTACATCAAAATCAACATTTACATTTTTAATAAAAATTAATTATAAAAAATGTATTTATTGCACTTTTATTCTGTGTTCTTAACATACAAGATAGAAAAATCCTTTAAAATAAATCAATAAAAATTTAACACATGCCATCTACAATTAAAATAAAAATCAACTTTATCACTTTTAAGATAAATAATAATAATTATCAATCATAATTATTTCTTATCATGTACTCTAATTAATAACAGAATATGTTCTCAACTTTATTAATTAAACTTCAATTTTTTTAAAAAGATTAATAAGAAGAAATTTCTCATGAACTTCATAATCTTGATAAAGATATTATGTTTTTGACTGGATTAATGAAAAATTAGTCTTAAAATACACTCAAATTAGTCCAAATACACCCAACTGCTAAATAATAATAATAATAATAATAATAATAATAGAAAAGATAAATAGATACAGCATAATAGCATCTCAATCCATAGAAACTTAAAACGTAAAGATTTTATGTTTTACATTAGGAAATAGAAATTTTCTGTGTCACGTCACAAATTTCATGTTTAAATTGGTGTTGTACTCATAAAAAAAAAAAAGTTTAGTTTTGTATTGTATAAAGGATTTTTCAAACCTATACCTTAGAGTAAGGGTTAAAAATATAATTAATATATATTTTTAACATTAATTAATATTGAAACCGATAACAATTGATACTAATTTTAGGATTTTTATATTAGGTTAAAGACACAATAAATTTATCATTTTATAATTAATTTATATAAAAATTAATAAAAGTTAACTTAAATTTAATTAATTAACTAATTAAAACTGTTCACATGGTAATAATACTAAAATTAAAATTAGCTTTTGTTATTTTTTATATAAATTAATTGTAAAAATGTGTATTTATTGTACCTTTAAAGATATAGGTTAGACAAACTCTTAATTTTTATCATCAATGTTATATATAAATCATTTTAATTAAATAATTAATTAAATAAAAGTCAATTTTTATTTTTTAATAATAATTAATATTAAACACTTTTAATCTATGCCCTCAAGGTATATGTTAAAAAACTCTCATATATAATTAAGTTTGATTTTAAATTTTGCATTTGAATAATAAATTTTAGGATTAAATATTTTTTATGAAATTCTTTTAATAATTGATTATACGAGTTCATGTAGGACCAACAACATAATCGAAGGCTACCATAAATTCATCTTAAAAACAAGTCATTATTATGTTGATTCTTTGCATTTCGATTTTTTTTTTTTTTTCCCTTTGGAATGAAGGTTCTAGAAGCCAGGAAATCGTAGTGAAGTTAAAAAGCTATGTTCGACAAAGCCGACGTTTAAGTCCAGCAGTTATAGCTACTCAATTCCAGCTCCAAAAGATGCAAGAAGGACATTTTCCAAATATAGAAACTGTTTCTCCCCAACCCCCAACGTTCTGTCTGACACGTGGACATAACCCCAATATTCCATGCTTCCATCTAACCTCCAACCTGCTGTAGACTGTGTTTCCAACATTTTCCGGCTTCTGCCCATTGTTATTTCCTAATTAATCCTTTAATTAGTATCAACTAATCGTACTAATTAAGGAAAGGTAACTCAGTACATACATTATAAACATTGTGTAACCTTTTTTTTTTTTTTTTTTTGGTACTTTTATAATGAACTATATATACAACTTATTAAACCTTTTTTCTTTCCTAAATTCTTCTTCATCTATATTAAAGTTTGTTTTGAGTCAATAATTGAGAGGTTTTAACTCAAATTCTATTTAGTATGATTGAGGTTTTTAGTCTTATTTTTTTAATATTTAATCACTAATTTATGCTAAATTTAGTAATTAGATGAGTTACTATATATAGCATTAGTTGCTACTAGTTGATAAATATATAAAAAGTTAATTTGCTAAATAAAACCTTAAGTTGTTCTAGTTATTAAGACATTTGTTTTTATATATATAACCAATGCCAAAAAAATATGTATCGAGCAAAAACCATGAATGTATCCTTTTTACTCAATAAATAAAATCAACATGGAATATAAATGTTAATTATTATTTAAAAAGATTATCAACAGAAATCATTATTAAAGAAAAAATTAAAAAAATAAAGGGATGATTCTTTTGTTAATTACCTAAAGAAACATGCAAAGATGATTTAATAAATGGGTCACATTACTATCGGCCATAAATTTATATAATAAAAGATATTATATGAATAAAATAATACTCAACTTACGATATGATTTTTAAATCTTTAATTTAAACAAGTATGTGGTGTATTATCATAATTAATATATTAATAGGATAAGATTATGTTATATATAAATATATTAAATAATACTCAACTTGTAAGATTAATATAAAATTTTGAATTAAATTAAAATTAAAAAGTCATATCACTTTTATTAAGATATGAATGCTTAATAAAAATAAAAGTAAATTTAACCATAAGTGAGTGTTGTACAAACCACAACTAAACCGGTTTAGGATTCAAAAACACTCCCCAAAATTCACTAATTTCACCATCAAAAAGAGCAGTTCTAGTAATTTCACCTGAAAACAATTTTTTCACTTAAAAACTTGGCCCTAGAAGAACATCAGCTGAAAAAGGGTTCCTTTAGGTTAGTCCCTGTAAGCTTCTTTTTTCCATCAACATCTTTATCAGTACTTGCAAGTTGTTCATTGAGATTCACTCGGCATCTCACCTTTTTTTCCTCTTCTCTTTTCTGCAGGATGTTTTAGAAATTAACCCTAGAAGAAGGAAGGAAAGATTTGTATAGAATGGGAAGAGGGAAGATTGTGATTGAGAGGATCGATAATACAACGAGCAGACAGGTGACCTTCTCGAAGCGAAGAAAGGGATTGATTAAGAAGGCCAAAGAGCTGGGAATTCTCTGTGATGCAGAGGTTGGTGTTCTTATCTTCTCCAGCACTGGGAAGCTCTATGAATTTGCAAGCACCAGGTCCATATCTTTCTGACATTCTTCTGCTATACTTTTTCTCCTTTTGTTTTTTGGGCCTTTTTTGTTGGAATTATCAATGCGAAAACAGAAAAACTCTTTCATTTCCAAGCTTATTGGCGTTCAGCATCAAAACTACTGTTAATATATATAAATATACACACTTATAGTTGTTCCTATGTGCAAATATATTGCATGGCAAAGCGATGTGTCATTGAAGAATTAAGTGAAGAAGGTTTCACATAAATAGTAAGATCGACAAAAAAAAAAAAAAAGGGGTTTCATATATTGTGTGTACATGTCTGTGGTAATCAAAATATGATGATTTATGAGATCATAAGCTACTAAAAAGATTAATACTCTAACTCTAGAGATATATAGTGGAAATTAGTAGCATAATATTAATCTATTCTCTTGGGTACATATTTAGGTCATGTTTTGTTGGAAGAATTGACTATTCCTAATTCAAAATATAAAATTTAGACAAATGAATGAGAGAGTATGATATGGTAGGAATAATAACAAGGGTTAAATTTATTAGTAAGCAAATATTGTCTTTGTAAGTAAAGTTTAAAATTCAAATTTTGAGATAATATTAAGAAAATTAATTTTTTTAAATGCATCAAACTAATATGAAAGGTGTATTTTAAAAATTATTCTGCAAAGCAGACCCAAAAATAATCTAATTATAAATACCAAAAAATGATAAATTAGGAATGTTTACTTATTTTTACCAAATAATTTTCTTCTTGCACATTGAAACAACCTAGTTAATGACACACCCCTTTTTTGATATATATTGCCCCTCAACTCTCACTTATTGGGATTAATATGAAAATATTGCAGGTAATTAAGGAATAACAATTCATATATCATGCATGGAATATATATTCTAAATCGGACCAAATTAACCAGCCCTTATGGAGATTAGAATTCAAAGAGTACAATGAGCAATTTAATCATGATCTACATAGTAGTATATTCTTGTCAATTAGTAATGACAGTGGAACCTGATTTGATAGTAAGACCCCTAGTGGTCGTGGATGTATGGCTTCATCGATCAGCACCAATTTTTGTTTTAGAATTAGCAGCTGGAAATTCCTAGTTCCAAATAAGGAGGTAATTAATTAATAAGCAAACGTGAGTGATCTCATGCAGAATAGATATTCAATATCAAAACATCCTAGGAATAAAGGGATAAGCATATTGTCTCAGTTTTCTTTTAGACTTTAGTAAAACTAGCAGCAAGAAGCAGAATATTCAAGGGCGAATATATGTTGGAGTTAGTCATTTTCCTTACAAGTTATAATTAGAGAAGTTGTTGCAAAATTTGCGATATATTTTGCATTTTTTACCCTAATTGTATGCCTTTAATGGGCATTTTTTAAAATCAGAGTCATCATCGATGTATTATTAGCATATGCTGATTGCAAGTAAACAATGAATTCAAGATTAGACAGCCATACTAGTTGGGAGTGTTAGGTGAAAATAGACCATGTTGATAATTAACATCTTTGTTTTGGGGCAAATATTACTTTACACAGTCTTTTTATTAATATATCTTTGAATATCTTGTTATAAAATTCAAATCAACTTTAAAATTTTTACAATTTTTAATTAGATTAAAGTTCATATTCATTAAATATATTAAAGATCATCATCTTTCAAGAGCACCATGTTAGTTAACCATAAGATTTCATTTAATATAGTTATGATTTTAGGTTTCTTGTTCTTGTTTTTATAAATTTTGCAATTAATAAAAATTGAAATTAAAAATCAAAAACTAAAAATTTATTTTAAAAAATATTTAAAACTAACAACAATATAAATTAACTTATTTAATAGTGTTAAAATTATTTTTTCTACAACAAAATTGCAACTATATTAAACGAAGCCTAAGCACCTAATTAGTTTGCATATTATGGTATATATTACCACTCATGCATGGAGAAACAATCACGAAATTTTCGAAGTTCTCTCCGTACGTTTCTCATTTCTTAACCAACATGTGTTTCGTTGCTCATTAGCAGGGTAAGATGGATATAGAAATAGAAACCTTCAGTTCATTTTCCTCTCTACATATGTTAGATATCTTCAAAATTTTGAAGATAGTGAAGACTGTTCCTTCTCATATTAACCCATTTAAGCCGAAGAAAATATGTTTCTAAATTCCACAATTATTTACGTCGAAGGCAGAGCAAAGACAAAGTAGCTTTTTACTACACATTCTTTTTCGCAATAGGTTTACCTTCCTAATGTTCATCCCATTTGCCAGTGGTTGTTCAATATCTGGATCATAATTCCTGATACAAAGCCAGAGATGGAAGTACATAATTTTCACTGTCTTAAATGAGTAAAGAATATTATATATTGTTAGCCTTTCGTTTTTTTTGCCCAATATTTATTGTTGGTTAAGATTCACATGGTATCTGTAAAGATTAGAATTACAGTAGATGAAGCAAAGATTCTAGTAGTTTTAATGATTCTATTTTGCTTCTTTTTGCTTCTTCCAACAGCATGAAATCAGTGATCGAGCGGTATAACAACTCGAAGGAGGAACAACAGCAGTGGCTGGATCCAGCATCAGAAGTCAAGGTAAAGGCTCTGAACCACTCTTTTCTTTTCCCTGCAATCTCATTCTTACTGTAATTTACTGTTACATTTAAGAATCAGCATGCTGAAAAATTCACATACATCAAAATTGCATCGTGAATTTTTACATTAATCAGGTCTATTTGCTAGCAGAGGCATTTAACATCATCAAGGAGAAAACCTAGTCTTCCATAAGCTAGTTCAATGATAAAAATGATCAATGTGCTATGCAAATTATGAAGCTAAAATGTTAAATATGCCATACAAACAAAATTTTCACTCCACTTTTACTATATTTGCCTCTGCATTTCTCATTTATGATTTTATTTGCTGCAGTAGACTAACTGCATCATATACATCACTCACTTCCCATATTCCAAATTCCAACCCTAGATAATGCATTCCATTCTCATTTCATTTAACGAACAAAGTTAATAATATCGTGAAAAAGCTAACAGGACAAATTAAAAATCCCATAAGGTCTAAATAATACCTTTAACCTCTAGAAACCTGATTATATGACAGCACCCAACATCTAGAATGAGAAATAATCCCATTAGAATATAGGCAGTTCTCACATGCCTATATAGTATAAACCCAGCCACACAAAGCAGAAGAGAAGAAGCATGCTTATAACTACCATAACTCTACACGGCTAAGAAAGAAATGCTTGTATACTTTGATATCAAGCAATTCAGATTAGTTTCTGATGCATGATATGCGGGGCTTCTAAAAAGCTGAGGAAATTTGTCTTATTATATATTTATGCATTAACTGCTAAAAGCACCCTTTTAACCTTCCTGTCCAAATGAAGTGAAGAAGCTAATAATAACTGCAGTTTCATATAAATTTAAAGTTCTTTCATTTCCTTTTTCCCTGCTGGCTAGTTTTGGCAAAGGGAGGCTGCAATCTTGAGACAACAGCTACAGAACTTGCAGGAAAACCATCGGTAAGATCTTTTATCCTAATCCTTTTTTTTTTTTTACCTTACATCCTGATCTTATAGCTCCATAAATACACAGATTTTATTGTCCTATGACAAAATTTTATAGGAAAAATTTAGCTATTAGATACTAGGCAGAATCATTTCGGTCAATCAGATACACGGAAATACTGCATTAAGGAAAAGAACAGATATTTTTATATGAAAAACTTAGCTATTAGATGGTAGGCAGGATCATTTCAGTTATTCTGGTACAAGGAAATTCTGCATTAGGGAAAAGAATAGATGTTTTTGTATCAGCAGTAAACAATAAATGTTGATATTAGAAAAAGGTATTAACCTTCCAAAAATGGTACAAATGATCAAGTAAATATTTACTATACAGAACTCCCCTGGGCATAAAAACGAAGCAGAACACCAACGTGTAGCTAACGCCAAAACCTTAGTTGAAATTCTAAATGGTTAGAAAGAAATGTGAGTAATTGGTACTTAAATGCACAAGAAATACAAGTACAAACGAAGGAAATCAGACACAACAGGGTAGCCAATTGGCCATTGGCCCAGTCCAAATCTTTGGACAGGAGATCTGAGGATTCACTTCTAGTTTGGTAAATTAACGGCAAATACTATATATGCCCAAAATATTGAGTTCCAGCTCTGCCCTTTCAATCACTTAAGCATGAGAAATATGATAAAGAATCCTACTAGGAATTAGGAAAATAAAACTAGTTGTTTGATGTTTTGCCTCTACCAAATCAATTCTAAAAATACAACTTACAAGTCAAAGACTTCTAAAAACTCAAAAGTATGCCTCAGACCTAATTTAATCAGGCCTACACTTTTAAATAAGGATTAAGTTCATTAATTTATAACATTCAAATCCAAAGCATCTGTTCCTGTCTAGGATGAAGACCTTAACAATAAGACAACAATTCTAACTACCTAAACACATTTTGGATATAATACATGCCTCAGACCATTTCATGAACAAATACCAACAACTACTATGATCACAAAACATTAAAGGAGACCTTATCCTGCCATGGGCAAATTACTGACAAAGATGAGGGTGAAGACAAGAAACCCAAAGATACATGTATAGAAATATAATCTAAGTTAAATTGTGCACCTCATATATAGAAATAGAAGCTTGTCAACAAGGAGGATGGTAACCAGGATCCATCCATCTTAGTTATCTTTCCGTCCTATTTGCTGTCCAGAACATCTTCCAAAGACAAAAGGTAGTGGCTTGACAACAAACTCTCCAATGGATGGTCTTCAGTTATTCCTATAGAAGCTACACCCACAAAGCATTACTTCTATGGGTCATTTCCCACAGCCATTTTTGTTGAACCATGCAAAGCAAAGATGAACATTACCAAGCTCTCTCCAACCCCACCCCCCACCCACAATTAGGTACAGCT